ACTCACAAGGATCCTCCTGCCTCAGCTTCCCAAGTGCTGGGATTACGGGCATGGGCCCGGCAGTGAGTTTGTTATTCATGTACAGGAAGGCTATTGGTTTTGAGTGCTGACTTTGTATAAAGACCCAGTCCAAAAATGGGCATCTGAAATGAATAGAGACTTCTCAGATGAAGAAATAAAATGGCAAATAAATATATGAAAAAATGTTCGACATCATTGGTCATTTGCCAAATGCAAATTAAAATAATGATGAGATTCAATCTCACTCCAGAAAGAGCAGCTGTCATAAAAAAAATCAATCAATAACAAATGCTGGAGGGGCTGTGGGGAAAAAAGAAACCTTCTTCACTGCTGGTGGGAGTGTAGACTGGTACATCCACTGTGGAAATCAGTGTGGAGATTCTTCAAAAAATTAGGACTGGGGCCAGGAATGTAGCTCAGCGACAAAAGTGCCTGCCTGGCAAGCACAAGGTCCTGAGTTCAATTCCCGGTTCCAAAACAAAACAAACAAACAACACCCAACTAGGACTAGAGGTCCCAGTTGACTCAGCTATTCTACTTCTTGGTATCTTCCCAAAAGAATTACAAGCATCATATCACAGTGATATATGCACACCCATGTTAAAGTGGCACAGTTTGTAATAGCCAAATGCCTATCAACAGGTGAATAAGATTTTTTTATGCAATGGATTACTATTCTGCCATAAAGAATAACCTTGAGGCATTTGTAGGTAAATGGATGTACCTTGAGACTATACTCTTAAGTGAAATAAATCAGACATGTGTGTATAAATATTGCATTATTTCTCCGGTGTGAGAAACTGAAAAGTGTAAACAAGGACCAAAATGTATAAAAGGTATTGTGAAATAGGAAGAAAATGTTCAAATGGGGAGGGGCACTAGGGAGGGGATAGAGGGAAAAGAAAGAAGGTAAAAGTAAAAAAAAAAAATGAGAGAAGGGAAAAATTTTTTTTGTTTTTTTTGTTTTTTGTACCAGAAATCAAACTTAGGACCTCACACTTGCCAGGCAGGTGCTTGTGCCACTGAGCTATACCCCCAGCCCAAGAGGGAAGAAATGGAAACAAAGTTTTTCTAAATGGGGAGGTGACGGAGACCACTATAAAGTGGCCCTGAGCAGGATTTAATATTAGCCAATTGGCTTTTCATGTTTACTTGGGAGGTGTCCGAAGCTTAGGCACCTTGTCTAGGATGGGCAGCTGACACATAGTGAACAAACCTGTATGGGTCCCTGGTCACTGCTGAAGCCTGTATTGGCCTGTGAAGCTGTGACTCCTCAAAGGACAAGATAAGGCCACAGCTGAGGAGGTTTGGCTCCCAGTTAACTGCAAGCTGCAGTCTCCACACTCCTACAATAAATACCAACCTAAAGATAAGGTAGTTCTCCTGATTGACATAATTTACTACTTGGGAAAATTCTCCCAAGGCCCTGCAAGATTCCTGCATTTTCTTGAGTATCCTTCTCTTCTGTTTGAAAACCAAATAAATACGGGCTGCCCAGAGAAGTCTTTGACTAAACTCAGAGAATACTGACGCTGTAAGAGAGTTAGACCCTCCTGGAGCCCTAGAATCATTGCCATTGTCTCATTTATTTAAGCCTTCGCCGTCCACCCGCTTGGGAGATTGCGGGCCTGATCAGCCTGCAATAACTAAGGGTTATTTAACCAGGTTTTCAATAGGGAGGGGAGGAGGGGTTGAAGAGAGGGGAGAGAAATGGGGAAAAAAGAAAGATATATCATATACAGGTACAAATTCTCTATGATGAGTGTGATCATTATATGCACCTAAAATAAAATGTACCAGTAAAATCTGATTGGAAACCGTCAAAAAAAAAAAAAAAAAAAAAAAAAAAAAAAAAAAAAAAAAAAAAAAAAAAAAGAAAAGAAAAGAAAAGAAAGGCCGGGCGTGGTGGCTCACACCTGTAATCCCAGCACCTGGGAGGCTGAGGCAGGACGATCATTGCAAGTTTGAGACCAGCCTGGGCTACAAAGTGAGCTCAAGGCCAGCCTGAACTGCATAGCAAGACCCTGTCTCAAAAAGACAAAAAAAGAAAGAAAGAAAGAAAGAAAAGAAAATTCAAAACCAAATGGTAAAGGCCAGGGATATAGCTCAGTGGTGTAAGCGCCTGCCTGGTAAGTGAAAGGTCCTGAGTTCAATTCCTGGTACCAAAAGAAACCAAAGAAAAACCCAAAAAAAACCATGATGAGTTCAGTCAAAGATTAAGAGGAAGTAAATGATTTCAATTGTATACAAACTGTTCTAAGTAAAACCTTGGATTGGAGGAAAAAACTACCACTCGTAGTTGTAGTGTGAGATTATGAGTAATTTCCTTTTCTTGACAGTTATGTGTTTATAGTAAAAATAATTTTTTTTAACAAAGACGTACTTTTCTGAAGAAATATAACGCTGGTTTCTAGTATGGAAGTGGCGTACTTTCTGTATTCCGCCTACCGGGTTACTTTGGGCTTGTTCGGGACCAAAGACGCTCTTGGCTTAGGAGGAGTTCTATTCGTCTTCAGGAAGAGTAGTGAAGGAATTTCGTGGGCGTCTCTAGTAAACAGCTGGGGGCTTGCTGTGGGCGACCAGCACTTCCCTTGAGGTAAAACCACAGCAGGCAGTCTGTGGAGGGTTTTCTCCTAAGCAGGTGCCTTAGGTAAGAAACAAGATATTTGCCCAGGGGACCCCACAGAGCTCAGCTCTGCCTTCCTAAAAGCTGTAATCGCTGCAGCCTGGGGCACTGCCAGCGGCTGGGAGGAGCCTGGTGGCCCACGAGGCCCGAGGGTGTGGCGGCAACCTGTTTGGGATTTCCGGGACCAGCAGTTGGTGGTGGTCTGCGGCGGCCTCGGGCTTTTCCAGGATGTCTTCACCTGTCCCGGCCGCACTCAGAGCCCTGGGCTCCGCCCCAGGCTGAGCAGGGCTGCCCTCCTTCCCGCGGGGTGGGCGGGCCCGGGTGCTTCCCCGCGTGCTCACACAGCGTTTCCCTGTCCTTGTGCAGCTCCTTTGCTGGCCTGCGCCGGTCTTAGGGGAAGGAGCTGCCCTTGGCTTTGGGTGGCTGGGAGGCCGGGGGAGGAGAGCGGCTGGGCAGGGCCTCTGCTGGGCTACTGTGGGTCTGGGAATGCTGAGGGCTGGGCAGGCCGGGGGCGCTCCAGGGCCATGTGGCTCCCAGAACGAGCCCCCAGCTTCCTTGGACCGACCTGATTCCCACCCCAGCGGCTCTTACCTTTCCTTAGGCCCAAGAAACTGTCCTCATGTCAGGCAAGTATTTCAAAACACAGGTGCTAGTCATATGTTCTTCTGTGCCTTACTGCATCCACCCACCCACCCACCC